TTTGGATCTGAAACTAAAGACATAGTGAAGAGACAGGGTTAAAGTAAACAGTTCCTTCAGTTATTGAATGAGTTAAAGAGTGAGTGAAATACTTACCTTTATGTGGATGCTGGTCCTATTATTGATGGATGTCCTCTGGATCTGAATGTAAAGACATAGTAAAGAGACAGGGTTAAAGTAAACAGTTCCTTCAGTTATTGAATGAGTTAAAGAGTGAGTGAAATACTTATCTTTTCTGTGGATGCTGGTCCTACTGATGATGGAGAACTTTGGATCTGAATGTAAAGACATAGTGAAGAGACAGGGTTAAAGTAAACAGTTCCTTCAGTTATTGAATGAGTTAAAGAGTGAGTGAAATACTTATCTTTTCTAAGGATGCTGGTCCTACTGATGATGGGTGTCCTCTGGATCTGAATGTAAAGACATAGTGAAGAGACAGGGTTAAAGTAAACAGTTCCTTCAGTTATTGAATGAGTTAAAGAGTGAGTGAAATACTTATCTTTTCTAAGGATGCTGGTCCTACTGATGATGGAGAACTTTGGATCTGAAACTAAAGACATAGTGAAGAGACAGGGTTAAAGTAAACAGTTCCTTCAGTTATTGAATGAATTAAAGAGTGAGTGAAATACTTACCTTTATGTGGATGCTGGTCCTATTATTGATGGGTGTCCTCTGGATCTGAATGTAAAGACATAGTAAAGAGACAGGGTTAAAGTAAACAGTTCCTTTAGTTATTGAATGAGTTAAAGAGTGAGTGAAATACTTATCTTTTCTGTGGATGCTGGTCCTACTGATGATGGAGAACTTTGGATCTGAATGTAAAGACATAGTAAAGAGACAGGGTTAAAGTAAACAGTTCCTTCAGTTATTGAATGAGTTAAAGAGTGAGTGAAATACTTATCTTTTCTAAGGATGCTGGTCCTACTGATGATGGAGAACTTTGGATCTGAAACTAAAGACATAGTGAAGAGACAGGGTTAAAGTAAACAGTTCCTTCAGTTATTGAATGAGTTAAAGAGTGAGTGAAATACTTATCTTTTTTGTGGATGCTGGTCCTATTATTGATGGATGTCCTCTGGATCTGAATGTAAAGACATAGTAAAGAGACAGGGTTAAAGTAAACAGTTCCTTCAGTTATTGAATGAGTTAAAGAGTGAGTGAAATACTTACCTTTATGTGGATACTGGTCCTATTATTGATGGGTGTCCTCTGGATCTGAATGTAAAGACATAGTAAAGAGACAGGGTATAAGTAAATTCAATTCAATTCAATTCAGTTTATTTATATAGCGCCAAATTCACAACACATGTCATCTCAAGGCACTTTACAGTTCAACCAGATCAAATTGATACAAAGTTTTCTATCTAAGGAAAACCAGTTGATTGCATTGACTCATTGACTCAAATACAATCCCCCACACTAAGCATGCTTGTAGCGACAGTGGAGAGGAAAAACTCCCTTTTAACAGGAAGAAACCTCCAGCAGAACCAGGCTCAGTGTGAGCGGCCATCTGCCGAGGCCGACTGGGGTTCAAGGAGACAGAAGCAGAGATACAAAAAGCAGCTGTAAAAGGCGGCCCCGTCCAGGAAACACACAGCCAGGCAGACGAGCTCCAAGGCAGCTCCCATGCCAGAGGACGAAGAAAGCACATCCACTCAGTCACGGTCAGAGAAACAGGACCACACTGGAAAACAGGCCGATCTCCAACATCTATAAACAAGGGTGTTGATAGAAGCAGCACAGCTGATGTTTCTTTCCAGGATGACGTCACAGCCAAACAGGAACAGACGAGGCAAAGCTACTCTGAGGAAAAGCAGAGAGAGCAGAAGGTTAGAGATTGAACTAACAGATTCTGCAGAATAGGAGAACAGAGAGAGAATGAAGCAGAATGATGAAATGGGGGTCCCTATGTCCTCCAAAAGTCTAAGCCTATAGCAGCATAACTATAGAGATAGCTCAGGATAACCTGAGCCACTCTAACTATAAGCTTTATCAAAAAGGAAAGTTTTAAGCCTAGCCTTAAAAGTAGACAGGGTGTCTGCCTCACGGACTAAAACTGGTAGTTGGTTCCACAGGAGAGGAGCCTGATAACTAAAAGATCTGCCTCCCATTCTACTTTTAGAAATTCTAGGAACCACTAGTAAACCTGCAGATTGAGAGCGAAGTGCTCTGTTAGGAACATAAGGAACAATCAGATCTCTGATATAAGATGGAGCTTGGCCATTTAAGGCTTTATATGTGAGAAGGAGGATTTTAAATTCTATTCTTGATTTAACAGGAAGCCAATGAAGAGAAGCCAGGATAGGCGAGATATGATCTCTCTTTTTAATTTTCATTAGAACTCTGGCTGCAGCATTTTGGATCAGCTGAAGGCTTTTAACTACAGTTTGTGGACTTCCTGATAGTAAAGAATTACAATAGTCCAGCCTTGAAGTAACAAATGCATGGACTAGTTTCTCAGCATCACCCCTGGACAGGATATTTCTAATTTTTGCAATGTTCCTCAGATGAAAGAAGGAAATTCTAGAAACCTCCTTGATATGGGACCTAAATGACAGGTCCTGATCAAAAACAACACCAAGATTTTTTACTTTATTATCTGAAATCAGTTTAATCCCATCCAAATGAGGTGACTGGCTAATCAGTTTCTTTTTCAGAGACTCTGGTCCAAAGACTATAACTTCTGTTTTGTCTGCATTCAGAAGCAGAAAGTTAAGAGTCATCCAGGTTTTTATGTCTTCAAGACATGCCTGTAATCTATGTAATGGGTTAGCTTCATCTGGATTTATAGACAGATATAGCTGGGTATCATCAGCATAACAGTGGAAATTAATCCCATGCTGTCTAATAATTCTACCAATTGGGAGCATGTATAAAGTAAAGAGAATTGGTCCTAGCACTGATCCCTGTGGTACTCCACAGGTAACCTTTGAGCGTGTTGAAGATCTATCATTAACATGAACAAACTGAATTCGATCAGATAGATAAGATTTAAACCAGTCTAGTGCTGTTCCTTTAATTCCAACAAAATATTCAAGTCTTTCTAAAAGAATATTATGGTCAACTGTATCAAATGCAGCACTAAGATCCAACAGGACGAGCACAGATACAAGTCCATTATCTGAGGCCATGAGAATATCATTAGTGACTTTCACCAGAGCTGTTTCAGTGCTATGATGAGCTCTAAAGCCAGACTGAAACTCTTCAAAAAGTTCATTATGGTGGAAGTGATCGCAAACTTGTTTGGCAACTACTTTCTCAAGAATTTTGGATAAGAAAGGAAGATTGGATATAGGTCTATAATTGACCAAGTCATCTGGGTCAAGAGACGGTTTCTTAAGCAGAGGTTTAATTACAGCAACCTTAAAAGCTTTAGGTACATATCCCTGTAACAGAGATAGATTAATCACATCTAAAATGGAGGAGGAGATCAAAGGGAATACCTCCTTAAATAACCTGGTTGGAACTGGATCTAACATACAAGTTGAAGGCTTAGATGAAGACAATAATTTTGCTAATTCAGAGAGTTCAACTGGATCAAAGCAGTCTAAACCCAGTTCAGATTCCATGACTACCTCAGGTACAATCGCGGATAGAGGAGTGCTTATGATCTTATTTTTAATAAGATCAATCTTATTTATAAAGAATCCCATAAAGTCATTGCTGCTAAGAGCAGGTGGAATGGACGGTTCAACAGAGCTATGGCTCTGGGTGAGTTTGGCAACTGTATTAAAAAGAAATCTAGGATTATTCTTATTCTCCTCTATTAATGAGGAGAAGTATGCTGCTCTTGCTTTACAAAGGGTCCTCTTATACAGCAGTAAACCATTTTTCCAGACTAGGAAGGACTCTCGCAGGCCTGTGGAGCGATATTTTCTCTCCAGTTTCCTAGCATTTTGCTTCAAAGTACGCAGCTCTGCATTAAACCAAGGAGCAAGCTTTCTATTTTTAACGGTTTTCATTTTCAAAGGAGCTGCGTTGTCTAAGGCAATACGCAGAGAACTAGCAACCCCATCAACAAAATCATCAACCTGTGAAGGGGAATAAGCTAAACTTTTGCACTCTGCAGCACTGCTCAGTGACACAGAGGAGAGAGAAAGTGAAGCAGATTCTTTAAAATTTATAACTGCACTATCTGATAAAGATCTACTAAAATTGAACCTTCTTTTGGGGGAGGAGAACTCTGTTAAAGTAATCCTGAAGGTTATTAGAAAGTGGTCAGAGAGGACAGGGTTGTGAGGAAATACTGTTATTTCTTCACATTCTATGCCGTATGTCAGCACAAGATCCAAAGTATGAAGATGAGAATGCGTGGGACTATTCACATTTTGAACAAAGCCAATAGTGTCTAAGATAGCATTAAAGGCTGCTCTTAAGCTATCGCCTTCAATGTCAGCATGGATGTTAAAATCTCCCACTATGATGACCCTGTCAGTATTTAATACCAAATCAGAAAGGAACTCTGAAAACTCATCTAAAAATTCAGAGTAAGGACCTGGTGGACGATACAAAGTTACAAAAAGAAGAGGTTTTCTTGCCTTGAAATTTGGATCAGGGAAATTAAGGGTTAAATGTTCAAAAGAGTTGTAGGTATTAACTGTTTTGGGAGTAATCAGTAAGTCAGACTGGAAGATTGTTGCTACTCCTCCTCCTCGCCCAGAACTTCTGGGGATGTGAAAATTTAAATAGCTTGAAGGAGTTGCCTCATTTATGCTCACATAATCCTCTTGCTGCAGCCAGGTTTCTGTAAGGCAAAACAAGTCAAAGTAAACAGTTCCTTAAGATAATGAATGAGTTAAAGAGTGAGTGAAATACTTACCTTTATGTGGATACTGGTCCTATTATTGATGGGTGTCCTCTGGATCTGAATGTAAAGACATACTAAAGAGACAGGGTTAAAGTAAACAGTTCCTTCAGTTATTGAATGAGTTAAAGAGTGAGTGAAATACTTATCTTTTCTGTGGATGCTGGTCCTATTGATGATGGAGTCCTCTGGATCTGAATGTAAAGACATACTAAAGAGACAGGGTTAAAGTAAACAGTTCCTTCAGTTATTGAATGAGTTAAAGAGTGAGTGAAATACTTATCTTTTCTATGGATGCTAGTCCTACTGATGATGGAGAACTTTGGATCTGAAAACTAAAGACACAGTGAAGAGACAGGGTTAAAGTAAGACGTTCCTTCAGTTATTGAATGAATGAAAGAGTGAGTGAAATACTTACCTTTATGTGGATACTGGTCCTATTATTGATGGGTGTCCTCTGGATCTGAATGTAAAGACATACTAAAGAGACAGGGTTAAAGTAAACAGTTCCTTCAGTTATTGAATGAGTTAAAGAGTGAGTGAAATACTTATCTTTTCTATGGATGCTAGTCCTACTGATGATGGAGAACTTTGGATCTGAAAACTAAAGACATAGTGAAGAGACAGGGTTAAAGTAAGACGTTCCTTCAGTTATTGAATGAATGAAAGAGTGAGTGAAATACTTACCTTTATGTGGATACTGGTCCTATTATTGATGGGTGTCCTCTGGATCTGAATGTAAAGACATACTAAAGAGACAGGGTTAAAGTAAACACTTCCTATAGTTATTGAAAGAGTTGAGAGTGAGGTAAATACTTATCTTTTCTAAGGATGCTGGTCCTACTGATGATGGAGAACTTTGGATCTGAAAACTAAAGACATAGTGAAGAGACAGGGTTAAAGTAAGACGTTCCTTCAGTTATTGAATGAATGAAAGAGTGAGTGAAATACTTACCTTTATGTGGATACTGGTCCTATTATTGATGGGTGTCCTCTGGATCTGAATGTAAAGACATACTAAAGAGACAGGGTTAAAGTAAACAGTTCCTTCAGTTATTGAATGAGTTAAAGAGTGAGTGAAATACTTATCTTTTCTATGGATGCTAGTCCTACTGATGATGGAGAACTTTGGATCTGAAAACTAAAGACACAGTGAAGAGACAGGGTTAAAGTAAGATAGCATTTAGCATTTATTGTCACTGAACAGAATTCAACGAAATTTCCATTGCAGCTCCCGTGCAAAAGGTCAAATATATACAGTACAGACAAGCAAACACACAACAATAATAATAACAACATACACAACTAAATCAACTAAAGGCACTCAGCCATGCCAAAGAAGCAGCAGCGTTCCTTCAGTTATTGAATGAATGAAAGAGTGAGTGAAATACTTACCTTTATGTGGATACTGGTCCTATTATTGATGGGTGTCCTCTGGATCTGAATGTAAAGACATACTAAAGAGACAGGGTTAAAGTAAACAGTTCCTTCAGTTATTGAATGAGTTAAAGAGTGAGTGAAATACTTATCTTTTCTATGGATGCTAGTCCTACTGATGATGGAGAACTTTGGATCTGAAAACTAAAGACACAGTGAAGAGACAGGGTTAAAGTAAGACGTTCCTTCAGTTATTAAAGGAATAGTACACCCAAAACATGATTAGCCTTCATTTTCTACTCACCCCCATGCTGAACAAAACTCTGGAGTACTTTTTTGATATCTCAAATGCATCTGGAGATCTGGGAGGCTTCTTGCTGTCTGCTGACATTCAAATAATGGAGGTCTATGGCGCCCGAGACAGAAAGGTCCACAAAAGTCCACAAAAACGTGTCAATATTCCTCCATACTGCTCGTCCAATGTAATCCAAGTGTCCTGAGTGGGTAGCATCCAGAATTTACTCGAAACGAAGTCATTTAGAACGTTTTAGAGCCTAAACAGTAGTGTATAGGATTTCCTAATAGCGCCCCCATGCGCGCTCACGATTCTACGGAAGCCGGCAGACCAAACCGGAAGGAAGTGCGCATTCAGCGTCTGCTCTGCCGATAATGCAAGCGTAGAAGAAGAAATGTGCTGTTTACCTGTGCAAAGAAAGAAACAACGAAAGAAAAATGTCTGAGGACTTCAGTGTTGAGGAAGAGCATGAGTTCTTTGCCGAGCTGAATGCGCTGGTTTGGTCTGCCGGCTTCCGTAGCGTCGTGAGCGCGCATGGGGGCGCTATTAGGAAATCCTATACACTACTGTTTATGCTCTAAAAACATTCTAAATGACTTCGTTTCGAGTAAATTATGGACGCTACCCACTCAGGACACTTGGAATACATTGGACGAGCAGTATGGAGGAATATTGACACGTTTTTATGGACTTTTATGGACCTTTCTGTCTCGGGCGCCATAGACCTCCATTATTTGAATGTCAGCAGACAGCAAGAAGCCTCCCAGATCTCCAGATGCATTTGAGATATCAAAAAAGTACTCCAGAGTTTTGTTCAGCATGGGGGTGAGTAGAAAATGAAGGCTAATCATGTTTTGGGTGTACTATTCCTTTAAATGAATGAAAGAGTGAGTGAAATACTTACCTTTATGTGGATACTGGTCCTATTATTGATGGGTGTCCTCTGGATCTGAATGTAAAGACATACTAAAGAGACAGGGTTAAAGTAAACAGTTCCTTTAGTTATTGAATGAGTTAAAGAGTGAGTGAAATACTTATCTTTTCTAAGGATGCTGGTCCTACTGATGATGGAGAACTTTGGATCTGAAAACTAAAGACATAGTGAAGAGACAGGGTTAAAGTAAGACGTTCCTTCAGTTATTGAATGAATGAAAGAGTGAGTGAAATACTTACCTTTATGTGGATACTGGTCCTATTATTGATGGGTGTCCTCTGGATCTGAATGTAAAGACATACTAAAGAGACAGGGTTAAAGTAAACAGTTCCTATAGTTATTGAAAGAGTTGAGAGTGAGTGAAATACTTATCTTTTCTAAGGATGCTGGTCCTACTGATGATGGAGAACTTTGGATCTGAAAACTAAAGACATAGTGAAGAGACAGGGTTAAAGTAAGACGTTCCTTCAGTTATTGAATGAATGAAAGAGTGAGTGAAATACTTACCTTTATGTGGATACTGGTCCTATTATTGATGGGTGTCCTCTGGATCTGAATGTAAAGACATACTAAAGAGACAGGGTTAAAGTAAACAGTTCCTTTAGTTATTGAATGAGTTAAAGAGTGAGTGAAATACTTATCTTTTCTAAGGATGCTGGTCCTACTGATGATGGAGAACTTTGGATCTGAAAACTAAAGACATAGTGAAGAGACAGGGTTAAAGTAAGACGTTCCTTCAGTTATTGAATGAATGAAAGAGTGAGTGAAATACTTACCTTTATGTGGATACTGGTCCTATTATTGATGGGTGTCCTCTGGATCTGAATGTAAAGACATACTAAAGAGACAGGGTTAAAGTAAACAGTTCCTTCAGTTATTGAATGAGTTAAAGAGTGAGTGAAATACTTACCTTTATGTGGATACTGGTCCTATTATTGATGGGTGTCCTCTGGATCTGAATGTAAAGACATACTAAAGAGACAGGGTTAAAGTAAACAGTTCCTTAAGTTATTGAATGAGTTAAAGAGTGAGTGAAATACTTATCTTTTCTAAGGATGCTGGTCCTACTGATGATGGAGAACTTTGGATCTGAAAACTAAAGACATAGTGAAGAGACAGGGTTAAAGTAAGACGTTCCTTCAGTTATTGAATGAATGAAAGAGTGAGTGAAATACTTACCTTTATGTGGATACTGGTCCTATTATTGATGGGTGTCCTCTGGATCTGAATGTAAAGACATACTAAAGAGACAGGGTTAAAGTAAACAGTTCCTTTAGTTATTGAATGAGTTAAAGAGTGAGTGAAATACTTATCTTTTCTAAGGATGCTGGTCCTACTGATGATGGAGAACTTTGGATCTGAAAACTAAAGACATAGTGAAGAGACAGGGTTAAAGTAAGACGTTCCTTCAGTTATTGAATGAATGAAAGAGTGAGTGAAATACTTACCTTTATGTGGATACTGGTCCTATTATTGATGGGTGTCCTCTGGATCTGAATGTAAAGACATACTAAAGAGACAGGGTTAAAGTAAACACTTCCTATAGTTATTGAAAGAGTTGAGAGTGAGGTAAATACTTATCTTTTCTAAGGATGCTGGTCCTACTGATGATGGAGAACTTTGGATCTGAAAACTAAAGACATAGTGAAGAGACAGGGTTAAAGTAAACAGTTCCTTCAGTTATTGAATGAATGAAAGAGTGAGTGAAATACTTACCTTTATGTGGATACTGGTCCTATTATTGATGGGTGTCCTCTGGATCTGAATGTAAAGACATACTAAAGAGACAGGGTTAAAGTAAACAGTTCCTTTAGTTATTGAATGAGTTAAAGAGTGAGTGAAATACTTATCTTTTCTAAGGATGCTGGTCCTACTGATGATGGAGAACTTTGGATCTGAAAACTAAAGACATAGTGAAGAGACAGGGTTAAAGTAAGACGTTCCTTCAGTTATTGAATGAATGAAAGAGTGAGTGAAATACTTACCTTTATGTGGATACTGGTCCTATTATTGATGGGTGTCCTCTGGATCTGAATGTAAAGACATACTAAAGAGACAGGGTTAAAGTAAACAGTTCCTTCAGTTATTGAATGAGTTAAAGAGTGAGTGAAATACTTATCTTTTCTAAGGATGCTAGTCCTACTGATGATGGAGAACTTTGGATCTGAACTGACATAGTAGGACAGGGTTAAATAAAAGTCCTATAAAGAGAAGGTAGTAAATCTTACTTATGGATGTCTATATGATGTGTCTCTGATCTAAGAAAGACTACTAAAGGGACGGTTAAAATAAAGTCTTAGAGAAGGTTAAGAGTGGAATCTTACTTTTTAAGGAGAGCTATGAATAGACTTGGATCTGAACTAGACATATGAAGGCGGTTAGTAAACAAAGAAGTTTGATAAAATAAATTTTTTTATAGTGAGAGAGAGGTTAAAAAGTTGAAAAGGTATAAATAATGAAAAGGGTTGATCTTTGTATATGAAATTGATTCCTTGATGATGAATAAGAGAGAATATTACATTTGTTATTAAGTAAAGAAAAATTTAAAGGTGTTATATTATGTTATAAGATTGAATACTACTGTTGATTTCTATAAGATAGTGGAAATACTTATTGGAAGGAATGATGTTCTCTGTTAATGATTAAAGTTAGTACTAAGAGGAATAGATCAAACTTATTTAGAAGTGGTTACTTATGAGTTTAAATATAAAGTAAGTAACTTAAGACAGAAGAATGATAAAACTATATACGGTTATATGTTTGGTTTGATGAAAAGACAATAAAGAGACAGCAAAATTTTATAATGATAAAGGATAAATACTCTAGAAAGTCCAATTAAGGCCTGTTAAATGAATATAAAGACTACTTAAATGAGACAGGTTAATAAAGTTCTTTAGATTTGAATGAAATAGAAAGACTGTTTAAATCTCCTTATGAAGATAAAGGTGAAAACTTATTTAGAGTGTAGTGAGGACTTTTTAAAAAAGATAAGTGGAGAGACGGTTAAATGTAAATTTTCCTATTTGAATGGATAAAGTAGGGAGTTTTATTACATTATGGGTACTGGTTTAA